AAAGGACCTTACAAATACTCTTCAGTCTTAGTAGCAAAAGATTTCATAGAAGACTTCTCTGGACAAGAATAAATTTCCCTGTTTGTGATCTTGCTTGGTATAGTCCCAGTTGGCATCTTTGCCTCAGAAAAACCCAAATTAACTTTAACATCAGTATCACTCATGTTAAAACTGCTCAAGGAAGGGAGACACCTTTTCTCGTGTTGTAGGAATCAAGAAAGCTAAATTGTTGTAATTGGACACTCCAGTCCACGCAGGTTTGGAAGATGTCTGTCTAGCTGGATGTAGAAAATGGCTCCAACTGCAGAAACTAGGGCCTCATGCATCTCCTCAGCATTTGTTATATTGTGGCTTTCATTTACATACATGCCTTTCTACAACAGCCGTCATTTCCACACTAGTTTCAGTTTCTGCAAGACTTTGGACTCTTTTGCTGACCATAAGAACACTGTGTGTCAAATAACACTTCTCAAATATGCCTGAAATATAAATATAGCTTACTATAGACACATGAAAACACTTATCTGAAAGTTAATTGATACACTGATGAAAAATAAATTATTATCCCATTTTTCCATGTTTTATAAGTAAGGCATGGTTTCGAATATTAATTATGATGAGCCTAGCAATTTTGCCAAGACCAGCCCTAGCTTCAATCTAATTCCAATTGTTACCCTTAAATTTATTTTACCCAAGTACCATTAAACCTACATAAATACCCACACAAATATAGCTTAAAAGATAAAATTATCACAGGTCCTTAGGCTGCAATTTCATTATTTGAAAGGGGGCATTTTTCTTTTAAAAAAAATGGACTGTTTACCATTAAAAAATTACACCTAGATCATTTTTCTGAGTGAACTTTTTTTCTGGATTTTAGCCTGTATTAAAATACAAACAAACCCTATTCTTACCTGAACCAAGTGGCACCAGTACATTCCAATGGCTTTTTGTATACACTGACATCTGCAAGTTAATCCCATGACATATTTCGTTATAGGCTCGTTTTCCCCTGTGTGGATGGTTTCCAGCACAAACCAAGCCCATATCTCAGTGCTGGTCACATGGTGTAACCCATTTATTCTCCCAAAGATACTTGAAAAAGTCCAGTTGCGGTCATCGGATACAAAAGAATTCACACCTGACAAGAATCAGTTTGCTTTCGTAACTCACGCTGTTTTGCTTCACGTAAACGCGACGACGATGACTGTTAATATCTCTGTTGCAATTTTTCAATACACTACATGTTTTTTTATATCTGTAGACAGAGTATAAACCACATGATACACGACTTCGTTGAGGAAGATTTGTAAACAAACAGTCTGCGATTTCCGCCATGTTGGATAATGACGTTGTGTTGTTCTGACGTTAGTACATTAGTTTCACATGATTTTAAAATGTGTTAGATGCTTGTTTTAACCTTAAAAAAATTAGAATAGGTAAAATGAAAATAAAAAGTTCAACTAACAGTGTTTTAAACCATTTGTTGACTTGAAAGAGATAGCTGAAGTTCAGTGCACCGATATATGTGTTCGGATATATTTACGAAAAATGAAGAAATTAGGTCATGTTCTATCTGTTACAACGGACAAGTTGTAGAACAGCAGTAAGTTTTGATTTCATTTATAAATAGACTAATGAGTTATCTGTTAGTCCTGAACACGCTTTACCCTAAAGACCTGTGAAGATGAAGATATTGTCAAAAATAGAAGGGGGGTGTTCAAAGCATGTGGTTTGTAGGCCTGAGAAAAACGCTTGGTTTGTTACCTTGGAAACAAAGAGAGTGGTAAAAGTGTATATCATTTTAATCCCCTATCTCTAGGTTATAATAAATCACCAAACTAAATCATTTAGTGACACCTGTATAAACTTTAAGACCAATCAATATAACCCTGTTTTTCAGAAGAATTTTTGGTTGATAAACCCCCCCAAATTGTCACTGGCCATATCTCTGTAAGTAGGGATTTTTTTCAGGAAATATTGCAGCCTCAGATATTGTTCATATAAAGGTTCAAACACACCAAATATAATGTAAATCCGTTCACCCCCACCTTGCCGCAATTTCTACATTTGGTTTGGTTTTCTCGTGGACACACACTTAATTACTTCATGTCACAAAGTTAATTTATACAGGCAAAACTTTATCCAAGGAAATAGTTTCACGAAATGAACGAGAGTAAAATATAAGTCGGCACAAATATAAGGCATACAACAATGAGTCATGTTATGGATCATGTTATGGGCCATGTCGGATTATAATGGCATACCTTGATGCAAAACAGTCTATCGTTTCTTCCACCGCGAGCCCCTTTATTTAATGTAATGTATTACTCATTACCTGTTTCATTTGACACTCTGTCTTTTTATCTCCCTTCCCCTTTCTCTTGTTAGAAGGAGGGTAAATAATTAAGCACTCAAAATCTGCACCACCAATCTTCAGAAAAACATAAGTCAACGAACCAGTGGGCTGATCCACAACATCCGACACAGCAGAACGAATCAAATAACAGCTAGCACAAATTTATATGCAGTTAGCTATAGTGTCACTACATACATAATCAGCTGCACGCGCGAAGCTGTTCAACAAAAGGATAGTTCGCTACTGGAGACCATTTGTTTACATAAGTACTCTTAGGGGGCGTGGCTACCCAGGCGTCCAGGGGATTAGGCTAGTTACTAAATATATGCCGTCAACAATCGTTTAGTGACCCTATCATTATACACTCTCTCTATTGTATTTTCCACCGCATTAATCGCAGTGTAATCTTCAAATGGTCCACGGGGTAAATGTACACATTCTTAATCCTAGTACGGTATTTTTAATGAACAAAATGTATTTTAATCATTTCACTGTATCACATTTTATCGACAGATCATACCGATTTTCATTTTATACTTGTATAAATATGACAATAAATTATTATTATTATTATTTTCTCGTGCAATGGGTCAGTTATAGTTGTATTGGCCTATCAGTTGGAAACACGTGGTTCGTCTACAATTGCAAATGGCGGAGGTGCCGTGGTAGTTATTGTCGTAAAATTAGCTGGATACGTGCACGTGAGAAAATTATTCATTAAATTTAGTTTTCAAGCATCAGCTTAATCTGGTAAAATGCGAGACGAAAAAAATAGAGCCATAGATAGAGCCTTATGACACACTGTAGAATGATGCCGAATAATACATCAACAACGTAGTTTATCGGCAGATAAACGTGTTTCCATTCTCGGCTGACTGAGGAAAGGTTTGAGAGAGCATTTAAAGAAGAGGCGGGCGAACCAATAGTGAGTAGGAAGAGTGTTGCAATCAAGACGAACAATACCGATCATAAGTGGACAGCTAATAACCCCTAATTAAGCCCGGGGTACGCGCTGCTGTGTTGACTCCTTGCTGGGGAGCGGTAGCGGCCTCCTACTGCTGTGAGTAATCACGCATTGTCTTCTAACTTGCGGCTTAGTTAACTCCTTGCTGGGAAGGGGTAGCGGCCTCATACTGCTGTGCGTAATCACACATTGTCTTCTAACTTGTGGCTACATGTCGGTTGCATTGTATTAATAAAGTAATACCTATTCATAAGGAAGGGGGCGGATGGTAATCTTACGAGAATTAAATCAGTTATCAATCTAACGCGTACCAGTAGTCTTGTTTTTTAATAGCTAAACGGTATGTTCATTTTACCGGCTAACGTCTTCTCGAAAATGGGGGTGCCAATTAATATTTTTACCCTCAATATCGGTTCTCGTTGCAATATGGCAAAACACATGCATTTGTGACACACAAAAACGTGCCCAGGGTGCTTTTAATAACCTTTTATCAAAGTTGACAATAACACTACTGTGAACTGTATATATATGTTCATTTTACCAGCTATTGTCTGCTCGAATTTGGGGATGGTAATTGATAATTTCATTACTCTCATTATCGGCTCTTGTTGAAAAATGGCACCACACATGCATTTGTGACACACAAAAACGCGCCCAGGTACTTTTAATATTATTTTATCAAAGCTGACATCAACACTACTGGAAACTGTATATATATGTTCATTGTACCGGCTATTGTCTGCTCAAATTTGGGGTTGTTAATTGATAATTTCATTACTCTCAATATCGACTGTCATTGGAAAATGGCACCATACATGAATTGGCCAATACATTGCTTTAAAACCAGTTATATATCACCTCAACATAGATCAATACAATCTTTGAAATAATAACAAGTATAGACAAATGACAGAAACCGTTTTAATGAGGTTACAAGAAAAAGATACTGAAAACTTGAAAAAAAAAATCCATGTGTTGACGCAAGCTTATGTGCTCGACGCTGCAAGTTGGCAGCAATGCTGTATCAAAGCAACCACGAGGGACTGCGAGAAATTACGTTATCCATGCAATAGAACAAAAGAAAATCACTGAGGCACAGCGCGCGCTACCTTGATAATAAGCTGTTCAGACTCCCGTGGAGCTGTCAAAACAGCTTATCTGAGACAATGGGCAAATGTTTACCCGAACGCACATAGCTTTAAAGGAAGATGCCGCATTTCACGTCCTTTCATTGTTATGTCCAAGGTCAGTGCAATAACGATATAATTGTTACACTGGCGATTTTCTTCAATCCCATTGTGACCATTGCCCCTATATGTTATACCTGAGAAATTATTATTTTTGAAAAGGGTCACTTAGATCCCACTCAGTTATATATTTTCAAGGAGACAAGGGTCAATGTGAACTGTTCGGAGTTGGAGAGGTGACGGTTTGCTTAGCATAAATCTTTATATGGACAAAATTTCATGCATTCTTATACCTATGCATTGTCTGTTGTGACACGTGTGTCTGTATGTATTCTGATCACTGTCTATGTCTTTATTGTTGCTGTATGTGTTTATTATAATACAATGATATATTATAATCACTGTGTTATATGTCTGTGTTGTAACTACATACTGTACGTATGTGTCTGCATATATATATTTTTATTGATGATATATTATCTGTTTTCAGTAGAGATGGTGTGTTTCCTGGATTATCGTCACACTGAGGACAGCTGAACTCATCTCAACCTCACAGCCTCATCACAGGTCATTACAACAATGATATATACTGCTACACTGGCAATTCTCTTCAATCCAACTGTGACCATTGCTGCTATATGTTATATCTTACAAATAATTATTTTGAAAAAGGGTCACTTAATTACATCCCACTTAAGTTATATATATTCTAAGGTGACAATGGAGTTGGGGGGGGGAGGGGATATATATATATATATATATATATATATATATATATATATATATATATATATATATATATATAGTCAAAATTTCATGTATACATTCTGATCACTGTGCATTGTCTGTTGTGACATTGAATGTGTTTGTATGTATTCTGATCACTGTCAATGTCTTTGTTGTTTCTGCATGTGTTAATTATAATATAATAATATAACCTGATTACTGTGTTATTTCCATGATGTAACTATACTGTATGTGTCTATAAATGGTTTAAGTGATGATATATTATCTATTTTCAGTAGAGATGAAGGTGTGTTTCCTGGATTATCATTATACTGAGGACAGCTGAACTGATCTCAACCTAGCAGCCTCAGCACATGTCAGTACAACAATGATATTGCTGCACTGGTGATTTTCTTCAATCCCATTGTGAACATTGCTGCTATATGTTGTACCTGAGAAATTCTCATTTTGGAAAAGGGTCACTTAATTAGATCCCACTCAGTTTTATATATGTTCAAGGTGACAACAGTTAATGTAAACTTTTCGACGTCGCTTAGCAAATTTGATATAGACAAAATGTCTTTATTGCTGCTATATGTGTCTATTATAGTGTCTATTATGTGTTATGTCTGTGTTTTAACTACCCTATATGTCTACACATATATATATGTATATATATATATTATTGATGATTTGTTATCTGTTTTCAGTAGAAATGAAGGTGTGTTTTCTGTATTATCATCACTCTGAGGACAGTTGAATTCGTCTGTTCACCATCTCCTTCTACAACCACATAGTATTAGCAAAGGTCAGTGCAACAAAGATATTGCCAGGGGCGGATCCAGAGATATTTTCTGACAGGCTTCCGCATTATCTTTATTGATCCATGCTCCACTTTTGACCGTCTTCCGACAGAAAAAATAGATATCTGTTAATGTAAACTTGAAAATCTGACCGTCTTCCGGAAGACCCAGAAGACGGCCTAAATCCGCCCCTGATTGCTATACATCTTGATGCCTTAATTTGCATTGTCTGTTGAGACATTGAATGTATCTGTATGTATTCTGATCACTGTCCACTTGTATGTCTTTATTGTCACTATCATTCTAAGGAAATTCCGATGGATTTACTTTTTAAAACATAAAATCAATAGAATGTCTCTAATATCAATTTTCAAAACAACAGCAGATGGCAAATCAAATAAAATCAACCAGTGGATAAACATCGGCAGACTTTGTCAATTTCACCAACTTGTTAGTTTTAAACAGTGCACTTTTCACTCATGCGCAGTCGTTTAAATCCTGTGCTATTGTGTGTACAATTTATTTAAATGAATTATAGAAACCAATTTGTTCATTTTCCTTTGGTTTGTTACGCATTTTCTATTTTTGATACTTCCCATTGCTGGGGCTGCTCTTCCCATTGCTGCATTTTACAATGTAGTGCTTGCTTTATCCACTTGGCGGCAGCACCTTACAGTGAAGCTTAAGTCTTCATTTAATCTCAATGATGTCTTAGTGTGTTTCTGTTTGTATGAATTTGTGTGTGTGTGTGAGACAGACAAAGAGAGAGAGAGAGTTAGTGTGTGTGTGTATGTGAGAGAGAGAGAGAGAGAGGGGGGGGGAGAGTGAGTGAGAGCTTGTTTGTGGGAGGGTGTGGTAAGAGAGATATATGAGAATTTATTATTAAAAAAACTCAAACAACTTCAAAATTGATTTTAAATAACTAAACTAAATAATTCTATGCCAATTTTGTAAGTTGTATTATCTTTAGAATACAATTTTCTCAAAACAAAGAAGTGTTCAGCTTATCCAGTATTTTGAAAATATTACAGTATTACATAATCTCACTGATGTCTTAGACCGCATTCACAACGAATTGAGCCAGGCTTTACAAATACTGAGACTAAATATGGCGGACGTACATGAAAGGAAAACCGCCTAATCTTTTAATAGTCTCTCCGCCTCTCACACACCTCTCCATGTGTAGTCCCAATGATTCCGAGATATAATGACTATACCCCCGCAGGCTCTTAGTGTGTTTCTGTTTGTATGAATGTGTGTGTGTGAGAGAGAGAGAGAAAGAGAGGGGGGAGAGTGAGTGAGAGCTTGTTTGTGGGAGGGTGTGGTAAGAGAGATAGAGAATTTATTTTAAAAAAATCTCAAACAACTTCAAAATTGATTTTAAATAACTAAACTAAATAATTCTATGCCAATTTTAAAAGTTGTATTATCTTTAGAATACAATTTTGTCAAAACCAAGAAGTGTTCAGCTTATCTAGTAGTTTAAAAATATTACAGCATTATATAACAGTTAAACACGTACATGACCAGGGGAAAAATCTCTATATCTGTAATATTGTGCCATTATATCATGCATACTCAGTTTTAGATATGGTCAAGGTGACAATAAAGGGTTAATGTGAACTATTGAGATTTGGGTGGGGATGGGAGGCAGTTGTGTGCTTAGCAAAAAATCTTGATATAGACAAAATTTTGTGTATACATTCTGATGCCTGTGCATTGTCTGTTGTGACATAGAATGAGTCTGTATGTATTCTGATCAGCTGGACTCATCTCAACCTCACATCATCACCACAGGTCGGTGCAATAACGATATTGCTACACTGGCGATTCTCTTCAATCCCATTGTCATCATTGCCCCTATATGTTATACCTGAGAAATTATTATTTTGGAAAAGGTTCACTTAGATCCCACTCAGTTATATATTTTCAAGGAGACAATTAAGGATTAATGTGAACTGTTCTGAGTTGGAGAGGCGAGGGTTTGCTTAGCATAAATCTTCATATGAACAAAATTTTATGTATACATTCTGATACCTATGCATTGACTGTTGTGACATAGAATGTGTCTCTATGTATTCTCATCACTGTCTATATATGTCTTTATTGTTGCTGTATGTGTTTATTGTACCACCAGCGTAGGCGATGGCGGTGCACATGGTTTTAGTTCCGACCCGCCTGTTCCGCCGGCTCCGTTGGCTCTGCCGGCTCCACTGCCATGTCATCATTACCGCTTCTCCTCCTAGACTACAAGGGTCTGCGTACCCATCTCTTGGATTTAGGTCACCTATAATCTCAAAGCGTTCCACGTAAAATTTGGGCTTCGTAGGTGCTTGGGTCTAGGTGTGGCACTCATTGCAATGCACCCTTGTCCAAAAAAGGCAAAATTAAATGCTAATTATCTACCCTACAGAAGGAATTATGGGAAAAATTTCTACAGACGGCTGACCGAAAGTCATATGTGGAGATTTCAAATATGCCCTTGGATTTGACCTTTGACCTTTATTTCAAGGTCAAATTGGCCAAAATTTTCAAAAAAATGAATTTTTTTACGAAAAAAAAATTTTTTGTGCTGATATTCAGAAACTACACAGACCTAACCAATAATATTGTTGGAAAGTGTTACTTTTCGGGTCATCTTTCATCTCCATGAATTTGGGGTCAATCGTTGCATTTTGACGAGAGAAGCGGCCATAAGATACCGAAACTGAAAACTGTCTCTAATTCGGGAACCGTTAATGCTAGAGCCCCATTCTTTTTTGCATTTTGTAGAGCATGTAAAACCCAACACTTGAGGTGAGGTTTTTTTGTATTTCATACCGTTTTCGAATTGACCTTTGATCTATATTTCATCATGAATTGAACTTTGCAAATTTTTGTTTCCTTTTATCTCCAAAACTGGCAGAGATAGATCCATAGTTACTATTGAACTTGAATAGGAAGTCATATACTGGCAATTAACTCTGACACTGAAATTGACCTTTGACCTATTTTTAACCATGAATTGAACTTTGCAAATTTTCGTTCCCTTTTATCCCCAAAACTGGCAGAGATACGCCCATAGTTACTTTGAACTTGAATAGAAAGTCATTACAGGCAATTTACTATGACCTTAAAATTGACCTTTGACCTATTTTTCATCATGAACTGAACTTTGCAAATTTTCATTCCCTTTTATCTCTAAAACTGGCAGAGATAGGTCCACAGTTACTATTGAACTTGATTAGGAAATCATATACTGGCAATCTAAGTGTGACTTTGAAATTGACCTTTGACCTACTTTTAACCATGAATTGAACTTTGCACATTTTCGTTCCCTTTTATCTCCAAAACTGGCAGAGATAGGTCCATAGTTACTATTGAACTTGAATAGGAAGTCATATACTGGCAATTTACTGTGACCTTAAAATTGACCTTTGGCCTACTTTTTACCATGAACTGAACTTTGCTAATTTCTTTCGCTTTTATCTCCAAAACTGGCAGAAATAAGTCCATAGTTACTATTGAACTTGAATAGGACGTCATATACTGGCAATTTACTGTGACCTTAAAATTGACCTTTGACCTACTTTTTACCATGAACTGAACTTTTCAAATTTTTGTTCCCTTTTATCTCCAAAACTGGCAAAGATACGCCCATACAGTCATAAGATTATGTATGTGTGCATTTATTCCATCTAACGTAAGAAGATTAGATACAATTATAGCGTCAGAAAATACAATTGAGGGAGTGTGATAATTATAGGGTCGCTAAACGAATTTGACGGAATATAGTGACTAGCCTAATCCTCTTGTCGCCTGGTTAGGCACGCCCCCTTAGAGTACTTATGTAAACAAAAGGTCTTCCATAGAGAACTATCCTTTTGTTCAACAGCTTCGCGCGTGCAGCGGATTATGTATATAGTGACGCTATACAGCTAACTGCAGTTAAATCTGTGAAAGCTGTTATTTAATTTATTCTGCTGTGTCGGACGTTGTGGGCCAGCCCAATGGTTCATTCACTCATTCTTTTCTGAAGATTGGTGATGCATATTTTGAATGCTTAATTATTTGCCCTCCTTCTTACAAGAGAAAGGAAAAGGGGAGAGAAACAGAGACAGTGTCAAATAAAAAGGGTAAAGAGTAATATAATACATTAATTAAAGGGACTCGCGGTAGGAGAAACGATAGACTGTTTTGCATCAAGGTATGCAATTATAATCCCACATGGCCATCGCATATACGGCCGTAGTTTAAATACATTACTCATAGTTGTATTAAATTACATTATTTTGCTGAATAGACATACATTTTAAAGTTGGTCTTTCAGGAAATCGTTTTGTTTGAAATAACGCAAACGACAGAGGTGAAATCACATATAAATTTATTCTGAAATAAAATGTTTCGCTAGATCGTGTTTACACTCAGCGAAATGCACATAGTGATTATATTCAATGTGCCATCATTTAATTGCTTTCTCGGTTTAATTAATTGACGATAATAATTGCAGTAAGCAGGAAGGAGGAAATGCTGAAGACAAAACAACGCCGTGGGTATGTGTGACTTTCTCCCTTAACATTTTCTATGATGCTGTCAAAGGAAAAATAACCGAGATAGCGATCATTTAAACCGCTGCTGTTTACAGGTGGACTTCTTCGTTTATCATTTAAATGCCCCCTCCCCCAGCAGACCCAACTTGAGGAATGCCATTGTAGCTACAGTACACTGTATATCAAACTCCGGTCCAAGTTATGAACTTTTTTAAATATCGATTACAACATGCTGTACAATGACTGAGTCGTGAAAGGGGTATTGGACTTCTTTACGTTAAAAACAAATTCATTTCGAAATCAAAAGAGCATTTTTTTTTGGGGGGGAGGGGGGCGTGGGGGGAGGTAAATAGTAACTCATTCCGTAATCCTTCTTGCACATTTATTTAATCGTATCAAAACGTTTGATATACAATGTTCACTAGTGTCATGATTTTGGCGATTTATTAAAACCATATTTGTACAAAATAGGTTAG